GACACTGAGCAAATAAATGGCTTAACTTTTTCGAGCCATTTTCCTTATTGGTCACATGGGCATGATACTATATATATTACATAATGTGGCTGGGATAGTTAATTGGCCTATTCTATGTCACAGGCCCAGCAGAATGCTTGGCACATGGCAAATGCTTCGTACGTGTAGCTGCTTAAGCTAAATTGATGAAGGCCAACAACCTAAGAGTCATTCTTGGCTTTCCTTTCTCTCACACCTTCCTTAGATTGGGATCCCCCATAAGTAGACCATGAGATAAAGATTTGAATTCAACTAGTTTATTGGGAAGTGGTCCCTGGAAGTTCCAGTAGGGAAACAGAGAAATAAAACATAAAAGGGAAGGAAGCCACTGCAGGGTTCTTTAGTGAGCAGATTACCACTGTAATGGGGCAACCCTGCTGGGACCTCTGGGAGACTGTGTAGAGCAGTCTCAGAGTAGTCTATCGCCCCAACCTCCCCCACCCTCACCCCTTTGTGGGTGGGGAGAAGCTGAGTGACTTGCCCACCAATGATTGCCTGTAGGATTCTAGAGCTTGGCTAGAGAGGAAAAGACCTCCACACACTTTCAACCCCTCCCCTACCCCACGGGCAAGAAGGCAAGAAAGGAAGCTGGTGGGCATCCTGCCAGTCCAGTGGCCTGGAGGGCACAGCTAGAGGTCTCGTTATTCAACCTTAGGATTGGATTAAGGAAGTCTGGTCAGACCAGAGTTCCAGGAAAGCCAGAGTGGAAAAGGTGTTTTTTTCCATATCTGCACTTGTGTCAGGTCCCAGTACAGCTGCAGCTCTGTCCTTTTGGTGATGCAAAGGGCCACCATTCACTTTGTTGCTGGTCAGGACTGTGATACTTGGCCTCCTTCTGTCATGAGGATCCTGCTACTTCTACCTGGGCATCATGGGAGGGCTTATTAATTTTCTATTGAAAGTGGCAGAAATCTAATTTAAATGAGCTTAATCAAAAAGGAAACTTAATGACTCATGTAACTGGAAAGTATAGGAAGTTCCAGGCTTCAGGTCTGGCTTGATCCAGAGTCTCAAACAATGTCATCAGGGGTTTCTTACACTCTACTTTTCATCTCTGCTCCTTGTGTATGTTGCCTGGTTTTCGTCTAAAAATGCTGGGGCTTCCTTTATTCAGAGGTGGGAGAAAGGGACAACATCATAGGCTGTTCAAGCCTTTCATCATTCTAGCTCAGCCAACCCCAGTAAAGAGCAAACTTCTTTCTCCAAGTGTTCGCTACTAACCTTTGGGAAGTACTCAGTCTGGCCCCTGGTGGAGATTTGGTGGGTTTCCTACCCCTCTCTTGGACTGATCTCTACAGTGGGAAGGGCCCTGGAGACAGACAGTGCCATCAAGACCACGTTATGGTCAGACACAGAACTGTCCATGTTCACAGTGGGGGTGAATGGGAGGTGGGGCACAGTTCCTTCTACTACTCTGACTCTATTTCCTATAACACTACCAGCCAAGGGTACAGGAACATATCAGACTTCTGTGAACATTTGGGGGAGATGTTGGGTGGTTTCTATCACAACAATGCAGACAACCTAGAATGAAATATTAGATGTCTCTGGTCTTAGACTTCTTTTACTCTACTGTCACTTTTAGCTGATCAGTTTCCTTCCAAGTTGCCTGATCTTTTTTCTTGTTCTGCAGCCATCTCTCCTCTTTTCTTTGCTTTCCTCTCTCTCAACTTTGTCCACTTTGTATGCAAAAGAGTTTAGCTTTTGCTTTTGTTTCTTTTCTCCCTTCCAACCCATGTCCTAAAATTCCTATCTTCCATTCACTCTCTAATGGACTTTTCAAGGTATTTTCCTAAACCAAAGCAATTCCTTTTTAAAGAACAACTCTGGTGGCAGCTGTTAGGATAATTAGTGTTTTCATTCAGTTATATCGCCTTCAGAATAAGTAAGCCCTGGGCCAGAAACTGGATCAGTGGGAATTCTGTGGGCAGACTTCCTGTGATCTAATGAAATTCACTGGGGAGAAGGAGCTGGCTGCGTTTTAATTTATTATCATGTGTCTAAACTACAGCAAGTCCAGATAGGGGAGCTGGCTGAATTTCATCCCTGGTTGTATGTAAACTGAAGATCTATTTGTCAGATAACAGACAATGTGCTATTGATACAACTGGAGTTTATACCATTTTGATGATGAAGGTTATTACATTTCTCAACACCCAAATGATCTGCAAATGTAATTTGGAGATGACATCATGAAGTATTTTGTGGCATGTTGTCATTATGGAGATTCAGTCACAGCCAAATACAAGGTTTGGTATGAGGGGCAATGAGTCACCCTGCCCTGTAGACTTGCTGATTTCCACCTGAAGGCTCAGTTGCTCCTTGGAGAGCAAATCAAGGCTTCTTCTACACTCCTCCTTGTTCCACTGTCCCAAGTATATTTTTGCTGCTGTCGTGAACCCCGTACCCTTTGACTCAGTGCTGTGTAACCCTTCCCTTTGGGTATCCCCATCCCCCACCCCCTTTTCCTTAAATAAATTCCATTTTTATTTACCATCTGAGATGGCTATTTAGCCTGCCTAAGCACCACCAACCTTAACCTTTCACCGGGCACTTTACATGTGTTAACTGGTGTAATTCTCCTAATAATCTGCAATTGTGGGGTTTTTGGTCTCCATTTTATAGCAAAAAAACCTGAAGCTGAGAGTTGAATACTTTGTACATCAACACACAAACATGCTCTAAATTCTCATATCTTTAAAAATCCCCCCTTGAAGCCATACCTGCTTTTGGCTCTTGCCCTAAATTTTGCTTTTCTTCACAAAAAAGTTTTTAGAAGAGTTGTCTATGTAGAGTCCTAGTTCCCACTTCCACAACCCCCGTTCTGTCTCCTACCCCCCCTTGGTCGGATTTCCATCACTACTTCCCACTGAAACTTCTCGAAGTCCCTGATGACCTTTATGGATCAAATTCAATGGCCATTTCTGGATCAAGGAACAGGAACTCACAGTCCTGGAGGGATGAAAGCATTTGGCACTGCCCCCTGTGGAGGGACAAGAGCAGGAAAAGCACTGGTTGATGGGTGGAGTGTACAAGTTAAAGTGCTTTTGGCACAAGTAACAGAGACCAAGATCTGCTAACTCTGGCTAATGTACACAAAAAGGGGGATACCCAGATTTCCATGGATGGAGGGATGGATAAACAAAATGGAATGTTAATAAGATTTAAAAAGGAAGTTAGTTCAGACTCATGATATAGCATGGATTAACCTTAAAGACACAGGCTAAATGAAATAAGCCAGCCACAAAAGGACACACACTGTATGAGTCAACTTAAATGAGGTAATTAGAGTAGTCAAGTTCATAGAGATAGAAAGTAGAATAATGATTACTAGGGGCTGGGGGAGCAAGGAAAGGGACGTTACTGTTTCACGAATACAGAGTTGCAGTTTTGGGTAATGAAAAAGTTCTGGAGATGGATAGTGGTGATGGTTGCACCACCACTGTGAATATACTTAATGCTCCTGAATTGTACACTTAAAAGTGGTACACATATTTTACTAGACGCAAACCAGAATTAATCTAAACCAACCAAAAGTTACTCCAGAGGTGTTAAATGCCACCATGGCCCTTCAGGAATTAAAAAAACCAAAAGAATGGGAAAAAACGCTAGGGCATCTCATGGAACTGAGAGACTAGCTAAACCTCCAAGCCTTAAGTGGGGGACAGGAAACGCAGCGGCCCCAGGGATTTCGGGGCAAGAGCTCATAGACTTCTTTCCTTTTCTCCGTCCAAATGCCTTTTCTGAGCGGCATTCTGCTCGGCTAGCTGTGGCCGGGGCCGTCAGGGTGGATTAGCTTCAGCGGGGGTGGAGGTGGGGGAGAGGTGGCAGGCTCAGGTGTTACCGTTAGAGACCACCACTAGGGGGAGCTATTCAGCTTACCAGAATCCAAGTCATCGACCAGTTTTCAGAATGATCACTTTACCCAATTTCTCTTAATTATGTATCTTTAATTGCCTGATTTTTGTTTTGTCTCCACAACAGTATTTTGGGGGAATGTTGACTTTTTTCTGAGTCAGCTTCCTGCTGTTGAGTTGGGGACAGGAAGGTAGCAAGGAGGGGAGATTGGGTATGGATGTCTGACCTCCGTGCCGTGTAAATTCTCCAGCCCCAACCTTGACAAAATGCTCAGGTGAATGTTGAGAAGCTCCTGAAACAAGTGAGATTTTCTCCTACCCTAGCAGGAAGGCGGCAGGAAGTTAGGAATCAAGTTGGCAATAAAGGGAATTTTCCTTATTGAATGGTTGAGATGTGGACCAAGATTTTTACCCTCAACCTAGTCTAATGCCCTTTCCCTGTCCTGAAAAGCTTAGCGTAGGAGCTAGAGATTCTTGCCTCTTTGTTTTGTTTTGTTTTGGTGCTCTCTGTACCCATGCCACCTGAGGGGGAGACCAAATCTCTGGGGATCTAGTAAAATCTCTGCAAAAGGGAGAAAGATCAGCCTTGGCCCGGTGGTTGGAGTGTTGTCCCTTACACCAAAATGTTGTGGGCTTGATTCCTGGTCAGGGCACGTATCTAGTTTGTGGGTTTGATCCTTAGTTGGGGTGCATAGCCTCCCCATGTTTCTCACATCGATGTTTCCCCCCTTCCTCTCTCTAAAAATCAATAAACATATTCCCAGGTGAAGATTAAAAAAAAAATGGGATAAAGATTATTAGCATGGGAATATTTCCACCCCGGCCTGCTAAGAAAAAGTTATGTGGGATTTTTTTAAAGAGTTTTTATGAGTGTTTATTTGAGCCAAACTGATAACACATGCAGGGGAGCAACATCTCAAATGTGCCCCAAAGTTATGTTTTAAAAGAAAAAAATAATAGAGGAAAAAAAGAGATCTAGAAATAGGATAAGGGTGGACAGGGAAAGTCAAGAGTTCTATAGGGTTCTTAATGAGTTGGGGGCCAGAGGTGGTCTGGCTGGTTGGAAGCTGGACACAGTTATTAGAATGGCGTGAGCTGAGGAACTGAGAGCAAAGAGAATTGCTATTAAGAATGTATGTCTGCTCACCTCCCTTAACTTTGACATTTCCTCCAGAGAGTGAGAAAATATTCAAAATACTTTTATTTTTTGGACCACTGGTTCATTTCTCTGAATGTGGCTCTGTCATTCAGACCACAAGGCTGCCCTCGTTTTTCATAGGGTCACACCTGTCTTTCCTGAACTTGGGCTCCCACTGAGGCCTGATTGTCACGAGGAGCTGAGGAGCTGAGAGCTGGGCTAGGCCTTTCTATGATCAAACAGATTTAACCTGGGGCAAGTTCCTGGGGGGTAGCAAAGGCAGGTTGAGATTCTCGATGTAATCTTGGACCCATTTGTTGTTGGGATTGGTGCAGATCTCTCGGTTCCTTTTGGTGATGAGGCTGTGGAGGCAAAGTTAGACTGTCATGGGCCATGGAGTAGAGTGGGGGTCCAGTCCACAACCCCCCACTTCTAGCTTATATGGGGCTTACCTAGGCCTCTCTGTCTTGGCCCCATCAGAAGGCCTCCTTCTCTGGCCTCTAGACTTCATCAACCTTTCTTTTAACCCCTTCCCCACTCAGCCTAGACACTCAGGCTTGGGTTTCTTTATGAGCACCATTTATTGGGTCACAAAGCTATAATTAGCAAAATCAAGAATTAAACCCAGGCCTGTCTTGTGAGATTCAAAGTCCTTAACCAATACTCTCCTCCTAGCATGGAGACTTCTTGGTTCTCTGCATTCATTCCGGCCCCCGTTCCCCTTCCCTCTCCACAGAAATATCTGTAGGGAAGTGCTTACATGATTGCTGGCAGGTAACAGTTGAGGGCCTTTCTGTATCCCACCACCAGTTTCCTTGGTAATACTTTCTCATGATACTTCAGGCAGCAGGAGTGTGAAAGGTTCACCGACTCTAAAATTTCTGAGGGAATCGCATTGAAAGCTGAGCCAAGGAGGCAGAGAAGGAGTCTATGGCCTCCATCCCCCACCCATGGCATTTCACTCCCTTGATGGCAAAGCCATCTTAGCAGGAACTGATCACAGCTGGTGGCAAAGCTTGGAACATCTTGAGAGTGCCATTTGGCTGATCCATGTTTGGAGTGGGCCATTTTCTCTTTCTCGAAGCCCAAATCCATTGCACGAGCCTGCTTGACCTTCCCAAAGGGCATTGTTGTCCCCTCCCACCCACCAAATGCACTTCTATACACAGTGACATTCATGTCCTTGGTTCTCAAAGTAAAGTTTACAAAGACCAGGGGCATCCTGAGAGTGTGTGGGCCGATTACGTGGTGTGCACGACCCTTGCTCCCCCAAATATTGATACAGGCAGAGTTGGGCTCAACTGCATGCCAAGGATAGTCTTAGGGAGAAAAGAAGGGCTGGGGCAGTGGAAGGCAGGTATGTGGAAGGACTGAGTGACTTGGTCTCTTCCCAGTCACCAGGTCCTCATAAACAACGGCAGAGGCAGGGGTAGGGAGTAGGCAAAACAAACCTTGCTCTCCATAGCTCCCAAACATCCTCTAGCTCCAAAACCTTTTGACTCCTTTCCTCTTTCCCACAGACTTTATTTAGATTTAGGCTGGGAGGTGGAGATGGGTGTGTGTCATGAAACGCCAAATGGCACACTAGGGCATCCCACTGGGACCCCTTTTGGCTGCCATGATAGTCCCAGCAGCAGTGTGTGGCGGACACTGCCAGGAAGGGGTGTCTAGGTTCAGACTCCTCACTCCCGAGCTTAACCCCAAACATCGCTCAGCCTGCCTCCCCAGCACCGTGTCCTGCCCTCCCAGAGAACAGGCTCTTCCCACCCACTTGCCTTGCCTGCCTCTTCGTAGCCTACGTTTATTGCCTTCCTTGGCTCCTCTTCCTAAAGGCTCATTCCTTGGGACTCCTGATGTAACCTTGACCCAGCTTCCCAGAACTGCCCAACCCCAGAAGGATCGGGACCACAGCCCAGCTACTTACAAAGGGAGAGTTTGAAGACAGCGGCTAAGCATGCAGGAGGGGAAGAGGCCCCAGGGATGACAGCAGAGATCTGACAGCGCCCTGGGTGTCACCTCACTGCCAGCTGCCCCAACCCCTTTCTCATTGCTCCCCTACAGGGACAGGTGGACTTACTTGCCTGGCTGCAGAAAGCAAAAGTAGTGGCCAGGACGGCCACGAGGAGGAAGAGGGCAGCCTTCATCCTGCCAGGGGAGGGCTGAGTGGAGACGTCCTCTTTGCTGCTGGTCGCTCCCTCTGACCCTTTAGCACTCCGGACTCTGACCACTTCAGAGCAGGTGGGAGGAGAAACAACAGGCCTCCCCCGGTGTTTGCTGAAAGGGAGGGCGGTGGGGGCGGGCCTGGGGCAGAGTTGAATTCGGTAGGATCTGAATTCATGTGAAGGAAAGAACGGAGAAAGGGACTGCATGGAGAGCATGTGCTGTGCATCAGCCACCTTGCATATCCTATTTTACTTAACCCTCGCAGTTGTGAAGAAGAGAGTATTATTCCCGTCTTACAAATGAGGCAGTGAGGCTTAGAGAGGTTAAATAAATTGCCCAAGGTGACATGGGTAGGGGGCAGCTAGGCAGTACTGAAAACCAGACTCGTGATTTCACCACGTCACCTGCCAACATCTTTATGTTGGGGAAGGATGAGGGAGGGCTGAAGGGCCCGGCTTCCCAGGCAATCATTCTTGGGAGGCCTCGAGACAACACAGACCGAGGCGAGGGTAGGGTCTAGCAGTCTGAAAATGATGTCCCCCCATGTGCAGTCCAAGGACGAATGGTTGAACTTGTTCTTTCATGGCACAGGCTATGCTACTGATGCTCCAAAATGACAGTATCTGCCACAGTAAATACTCCCCTTGTCAGTTAGATGACTTCCTCTCCAGATACTCAAAACCACTACTCTGTATGACTACAATACTAGTACTGCACTGAAGACATTAAATTCCTGCACTATATTATATAGTAAAGAACCGATATTCAAACTTCCCTAGTTGTATCATTTAGTTTTAACAACTTTTTGAGGTATAATTGGCATACAATAATTTGTGTTGATATAGATGTATCCATACACCATGAAGCCATCACCAAAATCAAACTATCAGCCCAAAAGTTTCTTCATGTGTCTGTCATTCTTCCTTCCCATCCTCCCTGCCTTCCCAATTCCCCTGCAACCACTGATCTACATTCTGTTGCTATAGGTTAGTTTTCACTTTCTAGAATTTTATATAAATGGAATCATACAGTGTCTACTCTTTTCTAACTGGCTTCTTTTACTCAGATGATTATTTAAAAATTCACTCATGTTGTGATGTGTATCAATAATTCATTTCTTTTTGTTGCTGAATAGTATTCCATTATACAGATATACCACTATTTTTTCATCATTGATAGCTATTTCTGTTGTTCCAATTTTTGGCTATTACAAATAAAGCTGTTATGAAGTCTTTTTATGGAAATATACTTCTATTTCTCGTGATAAATACCTGGAAGTAAAATGACTGGATCATACAGTAGGTGTATGTTTAAGATTTAAAAAACAATTTTCCAAAGTGGTTGTACCGTTTTACATCCCCCCCCCTCCCCCAGCAGCATATGGGAATTTCATTTTCTTCACATTTGCCAACCCTTTCTATGGTCAGTCTGTTTAATTTTAGACAGTTTAATAGGTGTGTAGTGGTATCTCAGTGTAGCTTTAATTTGCATTTGCCTAATGATTAATGATGTCAAATATCTTTTCATATGTTATTTGCCATCTGTCTATCTTTGAATCTTTTGTCTATATTTTTATTGAGTTTTGGTTCTTTCCATATTCTGGAAACAAGTCCCATATTCAATATGTCATTTGATAAGTATTTGCTCTCATTCTGTGGCTTGTCTCCTCCTTCTCCCAAGAGTGTCTTTTGTGGGGCAGAAATTCTTACTTTTCATAATGTCCATTTATCCATTTTTTTTCTTTTATGGATTCTACTTTTGGTATCATATCTAAGAAAACTTGCCCAATTCAAGGTCAAAAAGTTTCTCTCTTTCTCTCTGAAAAGCAATGGAACTCAGGTGAGGATTAAAAGAAATCAGGTAGTGTTAGTCCTCCAACGTGCTTATTTTTTCAAAGGTGTTTTGGTTTCTCTAGGAGCTTCACATTTCCATCTGAATTACAGAATTAGCTGCTCAATTTCTACACAAAAGCCTTCTGCGCTTTTGATCTATGAATTAATTTGAGGAAAATCAATGTCTTAACAATGTTGAATCTCCTGACCCATGAACACATTATATCTCTCCATTTATTTAGGTCTCCCTTAATTTCTCCCAGCAATAGTTCGTAGTTTTCAGTGCACAAGTTTTTTACATCTTTTGTCAGAGGGACTGGGATATGTGGAAGCAGCAACAAAGCTAAGGAATCGGTGGGTAAGTGGAGAAGGCATATCCAGATGAGGCCCTGTTAGCAGTGGGCGTTAATCGTGGTCGTCTGTGATGGTAGCAAGACAGGAACACACTGAGGAGGTGGAGAGAGGAAGCCTCAGGCTCCTCCTGCATCTGAGGCAGGACAGGATGGGGTACCTGAAAGTGGGGAGTCATAGTAGATCTGCAGAGAATCTCGCTGAGTGGGGTCTTCCAGACTTGGCTTTTTTTCCGCAACTGGCAAACGGCCCTTGGGGAACAATGGAATGATCCTAGATATAGTCACTATAGTTTACACTATGGAATGTTTTGAGTAAATAACCACTTTTACAAAAGATACCTTTCCTCCTTTTGTTGTGTTGACAATCATAGGTTTAAATTGGGGTTTACTTTTCTCCTCTCTACATGGCAATCAAATATTTGCCGATTCCCAATTTACCTGACTGGGATGAATGGCTGTGGACTGACAAAGAGCTGTCCCAGGAGTCTCTCAGTATCAAAAGTGGTCTCTTCTTTTTTGACAGATGAAGAACTACTTATAGAAGGACCACTCATGAAAATATCACACAGTCGGAGGAACACCAGCACTGAGCTGACGACTGAGCCAGAGAGGGCATCCTCAGACAAAAGTGGCGACACAAAAGTGGCCTTCCTAAGTGAGCAGCTAGCCTTTCATCAGAAAAGGGATGCTATGAGTGCACTAAATTACATGTGGCCTTATTTCTTGAAGGGAAATCCAAAAGATATAGAATCAACATTATTGCCATTCACTAAACTCCCTTTTTCAAATGTACAAGATGGAGACATACCCCTGGTCATTTGAAAAACACGGAACCCTTCTCTTAAACCTGAATTTTACCATTCAAGTTACAAAAATAAATTGAGGAAACTATTTTCTGGAACAGGCCTCCTGGTAAAGCTTCTCAGGGAGCAGCAAGAAGGAAAGGATCCCACGGTCAGAGGGACAATGAGACCGAGAGGACGGAAGCCCAGGGTGAGCAGGACGAGGAGTCCGGCGAGGTGGGGACAGCTCCTGAAAGGGGACCTGGACTCGTCGTCAGTTTGGGACGGGCCGGGAGGGCACCGAGGCGGGGGACCGGGCGCGCCGGGTCTGCATCTCGTCGTGACCATGTGACTTCCCTCCGCGGAGAGGCTCGGGGTGCGAGGCCCCTGGGCCCGCTCACGTGACAGCGCTCGGCCAGTGGCGGCCGTTGCTTGGCAGCCGTTGGTTCCCGGGTCACCTAGCGAGAGGGGTGAAAGGAGTTGGCGGTTGAAGGCGGTGGGGCCCAACAATTCGGAGGGGCCTTCTCCCTCTACCCGCTACTGCCGGCCGGGCTGGCGCCCCCATCCCCTCCTCCTCCTCCTCCTCGGCCTGGGCTCCGACGTGAGGGGACAGCCACCGCCCACGTCTGGGCCCGTGGGAGGTTCTGCTGGCAGCGGCCGGGGCAGGTGCCGCCCCCCTGCGCCCCGGGCTGAGGTGGCGCCCAAGAAGCAGCGAGGGCGGCAGCGGCTGAGGTAGCCCCCCCCCCCGCCGCCCCAGTGCCTGGCGCCATGTTGGGGGCTACCTGGCTTGGACGGAAGTGGTGGAGGAAGAGGGCGGCAGGCCGAGGAGACCCAGGATCCTGAGGACACTGAGGAAGATGGGGTGGAAGCGGACTATAGTCGGACGACTGCGATTATCCGATTGTCCGCAGGAGACGGAAGACGACGACGACAACGTCGCGAGTGACGGCGCCGGGAAGCGGCTTCAGGAGCCATTGCACCGCGGCCGCTGCAGGTACCTCCCAGCCCAGCTGCTGCAGACTCGCCCCGCCCCCCGCTCACGCCCCCTCAGGTCTCCCTGACCCCCCCTTCCCCCCAACCGGGAGGGAATGCCTTGGCACACAAGTGACGAAACAGCAATTGGCTTTACCGGAGGAAAGAGGCTGTTGCTCCAGATGGAGGCGCGTTGCTGCAGTTTGCAGGCCGCACGCCGGCTCGCCCTTTCTCGCCCCCCGGCCCTGTCACTTGCCTCTTCCAGATCTGTGCCCGTGCAGTGTCTCCGCGGGGCAGCGTCCACGCCTCGGCACACGTGTCCATGGCACCCGTTTTTCTGCCCTTGTGTTGGTTTGGGGTTTTTAGCGTGAAAGCAGCTTCTTGTTTTGCAGACCTCTCAGCATTTCTAAGGTGGCTTCTTTTAGATTTTTTATTATCTATCTGTTCCTTAAAAGGGACTTGAGCATTTAGACAGATTGTCACACACACACACATGTGTGCGCTCCTCTTCACTCCCTTAGCTGTGCGATTTTAAAATTGGGTTGAGGAAATGGATCAGTTTGGGTCATGTCAATATAAGAAATATTCAGACCTGTAGATAATTTTTGTGAGTTCATTTGAGTCAAACTGAGGGCAATTGCTGGGAAGCAAAATCTCAATGGAGTGCAAAAATGCTCCAGAGAATGTCAGTGTCGCACCTTATTTTTATACATTACAATCAAAGAGAAGACATAAGAGGGTTACCTGAAATTCACTGGTGATAGATCAGGGAGGCGGGAGAAAGCAAAGCAGGGAAACGCATCTGGGGTTGGATAAAAAGTAAAATGATAGACACATTGCTTTTACATAGGTGGGTGCAGGATAGTTAACAGTCAGCAATTAATTCAATAACGAGGGGATTTGTGGTCTCCACTCTGTGCTTTTGTTGAAAGTGATAAGTTCTTTTGCCATGTCTTGAGAAAAGAACTTCAAAGGCACACTCCTGTTGCCGTTTAAACATGATGGCAAGATTTTACTCTGAATTAAGGGGAATTTGCCACAAGGCTTTAGTTAATCCTCCATATATCTCCTTGGTTCAGGTAATGGACAAGTACCATTTGAACCATCCAACCCAAATTCCTAACTTTTTCCAGGCCTGGATTGGGCCCTCCTACCGGTAAGTTCTATTGGGGTTTCATGCCCTTTATCCAATCCGACTGTTGCCAGTCTAGGCCCTCCCCCTTTGTTTTGTCACCCTGACTCTCATTGGCTTGTCCAACTCTAGTTCCTATTGTGTATCTCCCAGCAGAGGAATTTTCGCCCCTTCCTTGGTGCCTTTAGCACCCCCGGGGAGATTTCCTGTCCCATTCTGAGGATTAAGTCTACTCGGTGGCAGTTTCCTGGGGTGTGTGAATGAGTCTGTTTACCAGTGAACTAGATGGAATTCTGCTGTTACCTGCTTCTGCTTCCCAGTTTATTAAGATTATTTAGTTCCCTTTTGTTTTCTTCCTCATATTAATAACTAGCTACCTATGCTGACACTTTGAGTGGTCTAGAAAAAGGAAATTACTTTGACATTCCAAAGGTAATAGGTTTAGTGAAAGGTTAAGGTCGGTGGTGCTCGGGCAGGCTAAATAGCCACTTCAGTCGGGTGAATAAAGAAAAAATTATTAAAAGGGGATGCGGATATTCAATGGGAAGGACTATATAGCACTCAGTCAATGCCCATGATGGCAGCAAAGATATACTTGGGACAGTGGAACAAGGAAGAGCATAGAAGCAACAGGAGAGCCTAGGCTGGGCTGCCCTGGCTCCCCGAGGAGTCAGAGAGAAGGGGGCATTGCGGGCCTTGGAGACAGGTTTGGGGGAAGGAGATGGTGCTGGTGTGCCCGCCTCCCTCCACCTCCCACCCCTGATCCTTTGTCATAATCCTTTGTCTTGAGCGTATTTATCTCTTTCCTGCTGGCCAGAATCTTAAGGGAGGTCTCAGGGGACTGTCTCAATAGAATATTCTTCAGCTGTCCAGGTGTGCTCTTTCAGGGTCGTGGTCTCCACTGATTGGTAGGTGCCGGGTTGGGGCTCATTAGTCAGTGTATCTGGCCCTGAGGCATCCACAGGCGCCACCTGTCTGGTTTTGCTGTTTTTCTGGGCCTGGAGCTGAAATAGGACTGAGGCCCAGATGTTATCTTTAGGGAGGAAATGCTCATGGGGTCTGAACTGTGTGTCCAGTGATATCCTGGGGGCGGATAGGTTACCCTGGGGACAAGGTTCTTGTTTTCCCAGTTTTGCCTAATCCCATCTAGATTGTTCTAAGAGCAAATGAAAAAGGTAACTTTTTTTGCCTGCTGGCAAGAACCTCTGCCTTGGGGTGGTGTGTGTGTGTGTGTGTGTGTGTGTGTGTGTGTGTGTGTGTGGCTGGAGAATGAAGGGAATAAATTAAGTGTCAAGTATTTATGTCTTGTATATAGAAGGGACTAAGCCTCTTCTTGCCAACTTGATTTTAGTACATCTTTTATAGTTACAGTTTTTACTATGTGGTCCTCCCTACCAAGAGCCCAGAATTGAAAGACCCACGGAGATTGAATTACACTGTCCCAGGGTGTTTTGGCAGGGCAGTTCAGCCAAGGTTAACTTCTCTTTGAAGGCCTAGCAAATAATATTTAGGATTGATCGCTGTGTATATGCTGAGTTAAATTACAACTTGTGATTGGGTTTCCTTTAAAAAAAAAAAAAAACTTGTATAAATATACCTGGTTCTAGCCTGCAACCATTTAGCCACTCAGATATTACAAGTGATACTGGAGAGATTAGGAAACAATTACTGTGTAGCAGTTGGGAGTAATGAGTTTTTTGCCTTCTCAATTAGACATTAAGACCATTTCATAAGCTTTAGGTTCTGAGATTTTCACAGCTTAAAGCCCATCACTGATAGAGTAATGAAGGAAATGTTCCACAAGTTAATATATAGTTGAGAGGAGAGGGCATTCTATTAGATTTCTTTATTTAATGTAGGGCCTTAATTGTTAGTGATTATGTATTCTTTTATATTTTGACAAGTACACATGATTACTGTCTTTTTTGTCTTTTATAAATACAGAAGAAAAAAAAAAGTCTTAAAATCAAGGAAATGCCTAAGGCATCAGAAAGGTTTTCTAATTCAGTAGCATGAAGGAAAATGGTTGCCAGCAAGAAGTGTGTCAAGGTTATCCAAGGTGACAACTGTCTGTACTATGCAGGAGTCACAGAGCTTCTGGAATTTCCTGGTTGTCCGGAGCTGCTTCATTATGACTCACTGTTCAGGCTCAGCAGCCAGCCTTGTCTGAAGTCACATTTCAACCTTTGGACCGGGAGCTAACCCACACTCCCTAACCTACTTCGGAGGCTGATGCTATAGCCCTGCAGCAGACTACAGCTCCTCCAAAGCACCCCAACGTGACACTTCCACATCCAGAGCCCGTTCAGGCTCAGCAGCCAACCTTATCTGAAGTCACATTTCAACCTTTGGACCTGGAAGTAACCCTCACTCCAGAACCTACTTTGGAGGCTGATGCTACAGCCTGCAGCAGACTACAGCTCCTCCAAATCAAAGTAAGGTTACAATTCAACTTCCAGAACCTGTTCAGGCTCAGCAGCCAACCTTGACTGATTTCACAGCTCAATCTTTGAACATGGAGATCACCGTGACTCCAGAACCTACTCTGAATATGTTGAATTTTCAGTCCAGCAGAAGAGCTCAGCTTTGCCTCATCTGCCTGTTGCCTGGGTCGCTGGCTGTGGCCCTATTGCCTGGTTTGCTGG